AACCCTTCTAACAATGCCTTTAAATCAGCACTGAAGACCACAGAAGGATTTACTGGTTTGTGAGCAGCTCCAACATTGAGCTAGACTATTTCAACCCAGCTGTTAGGCAGACTTACAGGGATCAAATGAATGGGTTGGCTAAAAAGCCCCAAAGGCTTTTTTTTCCAATAGGAGCCACCCAAAGCAGGACTCACAAGCTCAAGCTGCTGTGACCAACTCAGTTCTTTTGATTCTACCCAGGTATTAGCCCGCCTTTCAGTTCAGCAGCTGAGCACCACACTTCTCCGCAAAGCCAGTGAGCAGCAACACAGCGTGGCACTGCAGCTGTGTGCAAACACCTCCCCAGTCCTGCAGTGGGCTTGAGCCCCTCTAGACACAAACTCCTGTATTGCCTGTGGGTCACACATGCACAGAAAATACCTACTTGTTCCAGTGACTCTTGGAATTCTTATACAATGCTGGGAACATGATAGGGAGAATTTTGGCTGCATTGTCACTGATCAGACTCATGATGTATTCATTGTTCCAGTAGTACAGCGCCCGCTCTGCCACCTGCAGCAGGAGGGAAGCATAGCAGAATTCCACTCATCACCACACAGGCACATGCTCTGGCACTGCCCTGCCAGGAAAGTGGATTCCCAAAGCTCTGAAGGAATGGCCCATTTCAGTCACCTGTCACAAGCATTTTCTTTCCCTGCACCGAGAGTCACCTCTCTTGGCTTCTATTCTCTCCTACATCTCTGTTATGAGTGTCTTCACCCCAGTGGGGACCCACAGGACTCTGACCTTCGCCATCCTTGGGTAGCTTCCCTATGTCACTTGCCTGCAGCTGTGCTTTGAAACAGCTCCCTTCAACCATCTCCCTTACTCTGAACACCTCTCCCCTTTACAACTCTCTCCCATGGGCTTCCCTCATCCTAGCCCAATCTCAGGCTGTTTCCTGCCCTTCAGGTTTTTGCACCTACTGCCTTCACCCCACCTGTACGACTTTTCTTCTGTTACCTTCCACGTAGTCCCAATCCTACAGCTCCTTGACCTGTCCCACAAAGATTTTTCCTCCTCTTTTGTGGGCAGGTCAGCCAACAAGCCCACAAATCCATGCCCTCCTTTCAGGGAATGATGAAAACATCTTGCCTCTAAAAATCAAAATAAATCTGTGGCTCTGTCAAATCAGGTGCTGTATGCCCCAGCCACTCACAGATCTAGGATTTTAAAAAAGGGGGTGCAGGTACTGTGGTGCATCACCCTATAACATAATGCATATTTTTCTCCAATTAAAAAAGAAAGAAGCTTTAATAATATGCTAGAGGTGTATGGCTTTATTTTTCCGGTTATGATCTGAGCAAAAACAAATACAAGTGAGTCTGTATGGGGCTGACTGACAGTTCTAGGCTGGGTCAGGCACCTGGTCCCCAGGGTGGGGGGGTTACAGCTGCTACTCCTGGGCCTGGCAACAGACAGAACGGCTCCCTGCACAAGTTCCCCAGACACTCCAACCAAAGTGCCCCTCACTTTCTTTATGCATTCCCCCTGCTACAATGCCTCCTGTCTCTATCCCAGACCTATCCCATCATGCCCCAAACCCAGACCCCACCATCCCTCTCATGCCTCCCCCCCAAATCGTATCCTGTGCCCTCATGAATCTTTTGCACCATGAAGACTTCTTTCCATCACGCTTCAACACCCCCAACCCTTCATCATCCCCCTGTCATCCCACTGAGTCCTCCCACTACATGCTCAGAGGAGCAAACCTTACTCCAGCCCTCTCACTGCCCTCCCCCTTACCCTCTATTTCACCCTGCCCCACTGTCTCTAAGCCTCAAATTCCATCTGCCTCTTACACCTTCCCACCACCATAACACCCCAGCCCCTCTTCACCCCATACCCCTCACAGGCTCCCCCACAAAAAAAGCTTTGTGGTACTCATGACCCCGCATCCAGCCCTCAGGGCATCCAGGAGCTTCTTACCCTCAAAACCCCTCCCAAACAGTTCTCTCAGACCCTCACAGTGTGTGGGGGCAGGACTAACTGCCTCTCTACTTTACAGAAAGAAACAACTGGGGTTGGAGGAGGACATACTTCAGCTGTTGGTAGTGCCCCTGTCCCTCTCATCCATCTATGCACAGCTTTCTGCCACCTTGGCTGTGCCACTAGTTCAGTTCTCCATCATCTGCTGTAATGAATAACTCAGGAAAGGGTCATGCAGTAACTGACCTCTCCGTCTCATATTTGCAGCTCCCTCCTGCCTCCAACTGCTGTGCCACTGCAAAACTCAGCCTGCTTTCAGCCCTTCCCCCCACCCGGTTTCTGAATTGTTGTGGGTTCAAATCTCCTAAGAACAAAGCCACCCAGTACAGGTCCCTATGTTGCAGCACACCTTCACCGGCCATGCTAGGGGGTGAGCAGAGAAACATTACCTAGAAAGGGAACAGATAGGATAATCGTAGAAGAAAGGCTAGCCTGATTGCGGGATGGGAGAAAGTGGAAATAAAAAATCATCTTGCTGGGTGATCTGACCCCCACTGGCTTCCTGCCCCTTGGGCAGGGGGCTGGACCTAATTATCTCACAAGGGCCCTTCCAGCCCTAAAGTCTATGAAATACTACTACTAATAATAATAATACTACTACTACAAGGGTTAACACCTGTGAGGTGAAGAGATTAGCATAAATCAAGTAGATAAGCCATGAAGTCAACTGACTCCCTCAACTCCACCTGAATAGAAATATATCTGTCATTGCTGGACAGTTTGTTTTAAACATTCATAGAGTTCATAGATTTCTCGAGTCAGAAGGGACCTGGTAGATCATCAGGTCCAACCCACTGCTCCAGACAGGAAAGAGCACTGGGGTTAAGCAACCCCAGCCAGATGCCTGTCTAATCTCCTCTTTAACACCTCCAGGGTAGGGGAAAGCACCACCTCCCTTGGAAGCCCATTCCATATTTTGGCAACCCTTACCATAAAGAATTTCTTCCTTATGTCCAATCTAAATCTGTTCTCCTTCAGTTTGTGGCCATTGTTTCTGGTAACCCCAAGGGGCATCCTGGTAAACAGAGTGTCCCCTATTCCCTGCTGACACCCCTCCCCCCTGATGAATCTGTAGGCAGCCACAAGGTTCCCTCTCAGTCTTCTCTTGCAGAGGCTGAAGAGATTCAGATCCCACACCACTATCCCTATGAATCCACCCCCTGGTCCCAGGCCACTTCTAGATTTGAAGCCAGTATGTTCACTTAGTTTGACCCATACTATACGAGTCAAACTTTCATCAGCAATTTATGTAACAAGTCCCCTTCCTTGGGCTAAGATAGAGCAAGGCTTTCAGAAACATCCAGTCTCCAAGGTTTCCAGTGATGGAAGAAAGGGAAGTTATTTTAGCAGTCAGTTATCATCACTTGTAAATTTAGGCTAGAAATAAGTCCCCTTTTTTTTTAAATCTAGCTTGTTTCCAGCCATTAGATCACATTATGCATTTGCTAGATTAACAAGCAGTCTAGCATCAGAAATCTTTCCCATTAAAAGTACTTGCAGACTCTGAGGAACTCACCTCTTAAAAGTCTATCTAATAAACCACAGAGATTGATTTTTTTTTCCAGTCTCCAAGGCAGGTTTCTTCCACATCTTTTCTTTTTGTAGTGGTCTTTTGAACTCTTTCCAATTTCTGAACATCTTTTTTTGAAATGTGAACACCAGAAACAGACACAATATCCAGAAGTGGTCTCACTAACAGTCCATGGACAGCAATAACACCACACTCTCCTCCTATTACGCATGAGCCTGTTTATACATCCCCATGTCACAAGAACTTATTAAAATTGGATTAAAGTAGCTAATCAATCACTTAAAGTGATCAGTGACTCATGCAGGGTTCAACTTGTACACTGCACTAACAGATGAGACTAAACCAAAGACCTTGCTGAAATATAAGAATTTTATAGCCACTCAGTTACTTGTCAAGTAAATTTAGGTCATCCAAAACTATGCTACTTTTGACAAGACATTTCCACATTAACTGGCATTCATTATTCCTTTGCATCTTGGTGCTGCCCTCCACCATGCCTGCATCTGCATGGAATTTATGAGATCTGAGAGGCAGAAATATTATTTTCCTAAGCTTCTGTGAAATGCCCCTCATGTTGTTGTCCCTACAGCAGGGGTGTCAAACTCATTAGGCCCCACAAGCTGTAGAAGTAGCACAAGGCTGGTTTGCAGGCTGGATTGGGCCCACAAACTAGCCCCGCACAGCAGATCCATCATGCAGAGCCAATCCAACATGGGTACTGCATGCAGCATGCATAGCTCCAGCCTCAAATGCTATGTGCCAGATCTGCCCCCACATCATATGTGGGGCTCATCTGGTATGTGCTGAACGAGGTATGCAGGTCTAATTTGACGCCGATAGGAAGCACCCTGGGCCAACTGATAGGGCTCCAGGGGCTGGATCTGCCCCAATAGACCGGATCTTTGACACCCCAGCCCTACAGGAACAAACAACAAGCAACCATGCAGAGAAGGGGGTTGCTGAGTGGTTGAAGTGCCTCCCATCACTGTAACATGGGGTTAACACCATCATCTTCTTCACTTAGTTTCACTGAAATAGAGTCATTTAGAGTGCCTGATTTCCCCTCTCCTTCCATCACCTAACAGAATGATCCAGTATCCCCAGCACTAAGCCAATAACAAGGCACCTGCTTTGTCAGCATATAACACTGGGAATATTTGGGAGGTAAGGACTTTTCCTTAGTTGACTATCCTCTGGTACTGCAAACAATTAGATATTTTGATACAGTATAGGTGCAGAACTCATCAAGAAGATGAAGCTGAATGGTACCCACCTCCATCACTGTACCTATTGGCCACCTACAACCAGAGACAATACCATGTGCTTGCACTAGCTCTGCACTGTTCTGATACTCAGAGCTGGATAATTCTGCCTAGCCAGGAAGGACTGCTTTGATAGCTTGAACAAGTCTTTCTCAACACTTCTTCTGGATTATATTGGCTCCCAATGCCTCTTACTTTTGTGGCAGATATCCTAGTCATAATCCCAAATATCCTACAATTCATCAGCCATAGTTTTTGACAGAATCTCCTAACTCCCAGAGAATCATACTTCACAATTATTTGAATGTCCTCTTTCAAACCTGAGCTGGATGCAAGTGGTGTCATATTGTTTATTGAGCCTGGGACCTACCTGAAAGTGTGGGCTGGAGACGCACTTGGCCAGCTGCCTGAAGAGAGGCTCCATAACTTTCACAAATTCAGAGGGCTCAATCACATCCAGTATCTCCTCCAGCTCATTGAGAAACATCACTTCCTTAGGGCTATGTGTTTTTGGCCAGAACTTCAGCAAGCCCATAATTACCTGAGAAGAGACAAAGCAGACAGCCAGCATTAGGAAGCAGAATGCAAAATCATGGGCAAGGCATCCCATCATCAATGGGTACAGAAATTTGGTGACAGTAGGAATCAAAAAGCAGCTATATACCATACAGCCACATACCGTACAGTCTCAGTACGTGTAGACTCAGTTATCCATGGAAGACACATAAACCATCAGCTCGATAACACTCCTGTCACCACAACCCATCCCCTCCCCTATGCCACTGCACCCAGGGCCCCACAAACCTGCACAGAGGTACTGAACGCCACTTTGTCCTCCCATCCCTTTCCAAGGTGCTCAAGAGAACTCTATCAAAATACTGGTGCCTTACAAATTCCAGCAACAGGACTGTCCCTTAAGCCCTAAGCTAAGGAACATGGACTGAGTGAACTCTATTCTACTCTCCTCTGAAGCAGACTGGCTTCACTCCCCACTTTTCTCTCCCCTCTCTGTCTGTTCTCCATCCAACTTGCCCTCAACACCAGTAAACAGACACTCCTGAGCCTCATTCCAGAAGCTGCCAGATAACTTTACCACCCTTCCATTCCCAGGTAACTTCCCTGCAGGCAGCTTCTGCAGTAGGTGTAAACAAAGGAAGGCAGGATGCAGATATTTGCCCAACCCAGGAGATCCTTGTTATAGCTCCTTTTTCCTGGGCACAGCTCTTCCTATTCTCTTCAGGTTCTTGCACAATTCTTATCATCAAGTCAGCCTTTTAGAATTAGGAAACTAAGCAAGGAGTCTTCTGTCCCTGTTTCTCTCAAAGGAAAGTTCACTGCATAGCAAATAGGGTTTCTGGGTCAATTAATAGGCAGTGTAGTATTCCAAGAAAAGACATGGTGAAAAGGGGCAATCTTGCATGCAAATAAAAAAAAAACTCCTTTTAAACTTACATGGGCTTTCACATACCTAGGGAAAAAACAGAGTCCTGCATACTCATACTGTGAAGGAAATGATCTGCACCTATTGCCTTCACCAAACCTAAGATCAAGAGGCAACTCAACATCATACACTGGTGACTGAGAACAAAGGAGATGTCCTACATTGCATAAAATATGGTTGCCCTGTGCACTCAGTGGCAGGAGACTCAGCCACAGGACAAACACAGCAGGTTTCTGGACAGCACCATCTATGGTCATGGATGCTAAGATACAGGACACTCAACCCAATGTACCATGGTGTGAACTAGCTGCCTTTGAGTTGGAAAGGAAGCTCTTGTCCACATGCAGGACTGTGCCAACTGGCACACAGGCACCTTACATTGTCACCTTGGATGCCAGGTAATGGCAAAGGCAGACCACTTGACCCTATGGACCAGTGGCTGGGATAAAACTATTTCCTCAAGAAAGATGAGACAAATCCACTGCATACCAAACACCAGCTCTTGGTGTCATACCCCTCTTCCATACTGGGAAAGGTTCCCTGTGGCTCCTGCCTGCTTTGCCCTCCACGTAGTCCAGCACACCACTGTTTCTCCCATCTTTTCACTCCCTGATTACCAGCCTTTTCACAGCTGCAGCTCATCAGCCAGGCAGGCTGACTCCCCTTAAGGGAAACCACCCTGTTACACATGCGTACTGGACACTCAAGTGTGGCAAGGCCCTTCCTCTTTTAAAGCCATTAAGAGTTATGTTTGTCCGCAGCTTTAGTCCCAGCTCCAAAGGAAATTTCTTCTAGAGCAAGCATTAACAAGGATGAGTGGGAGTATGTCTCTGTTCCAGTTATTACTCACACTGCCGTTCCAGAGCCCATTTACTCAGCTGACCTCAGTATTGTAGATAATGCATTAATGCAGCCTGAATTAATGGTAAATGAGGCAGAGATTAAGCAAAGAAGTGCTTTAAAATCTGGGTAAAATTTGGCCACGAGACTTCCAGCCGTTTAGTTTTCATGACATTCCAGCCTCTTCCCAGTACAGGTAGAGCCATGCTAATCTGCAAACCTAGTAGCTCTCACTGAAACTCGGTGGTCTCAGCCACATTAATTAAAGACCTCTTGTAACCAAAGTGTCTGGATACTTTGCCATAGAATTGGATAACCTTGTGGAGTGCAGCTATAGAAATGGTGTGAAGTTTTACAGAACGAAGTGTCATGTCCTACATTTACAAAACAATACAACAAACCTTCACTGTAAAATAAGGGGTCAAAAACTGGAGGCAACAAAGAAAAGTGACCTGGGGGCATTTGCTAGCCCATAGGATGACTGTGAGCTGTTAACATGATGTGGCCATGAAACAGGTTAACACAATCTAAGGCTGTGGGAGGCAGGATATTTCTAGTGTTGAAAAGGAAGTATTAGTACCATTATACCTCCCACTGGTAAGACCCAGTTTAGAATAATGTGTACACCAGGACTGTCCAACTTCTAAGTGGTGTGGGACTGCACACCACATGGGCTTCACCAGCATGGAGCACAACAGGACTCCTTGATGCACTGCACTGTACAGGCTCCTCAGCCCCCACTTCCAGCTTCCTGGTCACTGGCTCCCCTCCTGTACCATACCATGCCATGCAGATTCCCCGCTCCAGGCCATGGGATCCCTCTGTCATGTTGCCCTGTACCATGTGTCATGCTGCCTTGCCCCTTGGGGTAGGTTGGAAGTAGAAGCCAGAGTAGGAGCCTGGAGACCCAGCTTCTGCTGCAGCCAGACCACTGGGCGGAGGGAGGGGGGGAGCAGGTTAGGTGGATGTCTGGGGACTGCATGTTAAACCTCTGTGGACAGCTCTGGCATACACCTTTGGTTGCCTACTTTCAAAATGGTGTATTTATATGAGGACAGATACAAAGGTCTAGGAGGATGATTACAGGAATGGAGATGAAATGAGATTGCCTTGTTTAGCGTTACAAAATATAGGCTGACAGAGTATACAATTACTCTCTTTAAACATATTTCCAGGGTGAATATCAGGGAAGGAGAAGAGCTAGTTAAGTTAAGAACATTATTGGCACAAGATCAAATGGACACAAATTGGTCACAAACAAATTTAGATTGGAAATTAGATGCAGACTTAACCATCAGAGGACCCAAGTTTTGAAAAGGCCTTCTGAACAACATGATGGGATAAGGTACCTGAATTGCTTCAAAACTGAAATTTGAATAGCTTATAGAAGTGACAGCATGACAGGAAATGGGTGTGCTTGGGGCAGTCATCTGAGTGTGTCACATAGATACTTATGTATTTGTTACTTCCATGAAACAGCTAAAAGGAAACACTCTGTGTGTGAGGTTTCTGGAAATCCCATGCTTCAGCACTTCCCATGGTTGCCTGTAGGGCCCAAGAAGAAACCCCCTCCCTCCACACCCCTTCCCTCTCCCCCCACCTGAGACTCCTTTGCTGGCTTCTGGGGTTCCCTCCCACCCCATATTCAGTTAAAGCATTGAACACTTGACACAGCTACAGTTTAGCTGGGGTATGCTAGTGCTCCAAGGGCACTTGAGAACCTCTTCGGTGCCTATCTAGTGGGATTAGGTCATGAATTTAAAGTCAAACCACCTGCCAAATTTGGCATCAGAAAGGAACTATTTTCCAGGTCAAAGTGGCACAGACAATGGCTCTCCTCTGTAGCACAGGGCACAGTCCTTTTCCTAGAACCATCTGAGCATATATTAACCTAACTAAATGTCATGCTGTTACAGTGGAAAAGCACTGGTTGCACCCTTGTGGCAGGTGTTTCTGCTTTTCTCTTGAGGTGCTTTCTGGCTGATGTATGCAAGAGGGGTCAGAGTAGGTGTTCACAGAATCATAGAAAATTAGGGTTAGAAGGGACCTCAGGATGTCATCTAGTCCAACCCCCTGCTCAGAGCAGGGCCATCCCAGCCAGGGCTTTGTTAAGACGGGCCTTAAAAACCTCCAAACATGGGGATTCCACTACCTCTCTAGGTAACTTGTTCCAGTGCTTCACCACCCTTCTAGTGAGAAAGTTTTTCCTAATATCCAACCTAAATCTCCCTTGGTGCAACTTGAGACCATTGCTCCTTGTTCTGTCATCCGTCACCACTGAGCTCCATCTCTATCCAGCTCCATCCTTTGGTACTTCAGGTACTTAAAGGCTGTGTAACAGGGTTTCCTTCCCAGCCAGGTCTATGCCTCCAGTCTTCCCCTGTCTCTGGGCAGTCCTCCTGCTCCACTCACATGCCGCCTCTCTCTCACCAGGGTCCCAATTCACTCCACTGGCTCTCACCTGGCCTCTTTCATGCTGCCCTCTTTCCTCAGCCACATTCATACTGCCCAGCCTCACCCAGTTTTGGGCTCGTCTCTGTATGCCTCAGTCAGCCCTGGCGCAGTCTGTCAGGCATCTCCCACTGCCCTCACCTGAATGTTTGCTGAATGACTCTACAACCGTTAACCTACTTCACTCCTGGCCCCTTGCTGGGCCTCCATGCCTCCACAGGGCCTCTTCCCTAAGCCCCTCTCTTCAGGCCTCTCGCTCCATTGCCCCTCTCTGTCACCACCCTCCCTCAGGGTCTCTACTCACGTCCCCAGGCTTTACCCTGCTCCCTGGGTAAAGCTCCAGGTCCCTCCTCCTAATGAGCCTGGGCTCCCCCTGCTCTGCTGGAATACCACCAGGGATGTGGGGCTGGGGTTATAAGGCACCCCAACCCACCTTTCACCAGGGAAGTAACTGGCCTGGCATTTCCTGGAGGTTCCCACACCACTAGGAGTCCCACCAGGCCACCCTTCCCCAGCAAGGTGCAGTTTCATATCATGTCCAGGACCAGGAGCCTCCACCTGCCCATAGGCCCTTCCCTTACCTCCAGGTACCCAGGCAGGAGCTCAGTCAGCTGATGTTGCTGCCTCCCTTACTAGTAGCCAACTGTCCTCTTTACATAGTTGGCCTGCATTTGAAAATGGCTGCTGCAATCAGCCACCCGGCGGCTGCCTGCTCCAGTCCTTGAAGTGGCAGGCACCAAAGACACACTGCCACAGGCTGCTATCAAATCCCCTCTCGGTCTTCTCTTCTCCAAACTAAATAATCCTAGTTCTCTCAGCTTCTCCTCAGAAGTCATGTGCCCCAGCCCCCTAAACATTTTCGTTGCCCTCTGCTGGACTCTCTCTAACATGTCCACATCCTTTCTATAGTGGGAGACTCAAAACTGGAATACAAGGGAATAATCACTTCCCTCAATCTTCTGGCAACGCTCCTACTAATGCAGCCCAGTATGCTGTTAGCTTTCTTGACAACAAGGGCACACTGTAGGCTCATATCCTACAGTAATGAGGCCAGCCAGTACTGTCCACTGGAACTACCAGGTCCTTTTCTGCAGAGCTGCTGCTTAGCCAGTCAGTCACCAGGCTATAGTGGTTCATGAGATTCTTTTGTCCTAAGCACATGGCTTTGCATGTGTCCTTGTCAGACCTCAAGAGATTTCTTTTGGCCCAATTCTCCATTTTGTCTAGGTCACTCTGAATCCTAGCCATACCCCTCCAGCTTATCTACTACTCCCCCCAGTTTGGACACCATGAACTTGCTGAGGGTGCAATCCATCCCACCTTCCAGATGGTTAATGAAGATATTGGACAAAACAAGCCCCAGGACCAACCCCTGGGGGACTCCACTTGATACTGGCTGCCAGCTAGACACTGAGCCATTAATTACTAACCTGTTGTTCTTTGAAAACTGGCTGCCTGCAAGTTCACGGACTGGACTCAATGGCCTAGGAGACCACTTCCAGGCTTATATGCAGGAAATACATTCTGTGGTTAAACTGTGTCGTCTTGACCATTTGGTTAAGGCCCAATATAATAGCCCCTTGGAGGAAGCTCTTCCACTGCCTTCCAGGGGCATTGAATCAGGCTTTCACTCACTAATTTGCAGAAGTAATAAGTGCATCCCCCATCACCTGTAAGGATCTACAGCACTTGACTATAGTGGTTTGCTGTTTGAATGAAGTGCAAGCAGACACAATGAGAAGGACCCCATAAATGTTGGAAAACAACCTATTTCTCTTCTCTCCTCCAACTCAAGAGCTTCACAGCACCCTCCCTCCCTCCCCCCCTCCTAGTACTTTTAATAGCAGTCTTGAGGACCACTGGGCTGGGATCAGAAAGTTATGGAATGCAATAGAAATTTCTTGTTAGCAGCAGGCATTTGAGAACATAGGAAGCAGTCTGACCAGGCAGCAAGAACCTGAACAAGGAACAAGGAGGCAAAAGGTTTCTCTCCAGAATGACAAGTTAGGGGAACCTGAAGCAGCCTACTGAAAGTGGCTGGCCAACATTAGCTGAACACAGGTCAAGCTCCTTGTCAGTGTGCAGCTGCCATAGCAGTACAAAAACCAAGCTGTAAATAATAGTTATTAACAAGCTATTCTTGCATTTGTACCATCAGAGCAGGAAGCAACATACTTGGTTTTTGGCCATCTGCCACTTTTGAACCACTGAGGAACAGAACCACACAAGATGTTTCCCATGTGCTCAACCCACTCCATGGAGCAGGTATAGACACATAGATCATCTCTCTGCTCCCTGTCAAGCCTGCAGCTAGTCTGTTTAGTGTTCCTGCTTGTCTGCATAGCCCCAGGAAACAAAATGTGCTTGAGCACTACAGCAACCTGCTTAACCACGTACGGTCTGTGAGCACAACGTCACAAAGGCAACTACACCTACTCCAGGATTTAGCATCCCGGAGATAAACTGGCAAGATAAGATGTGACACAGATACTCCAAAAACCTCAGTAGGAACACAAAGCACGCACTCCACTAGAGACAGGGGCTGCTCAGCTATCCTCTCCATCAGGACAGCACAAGCCTTTTGGGTCACCAGTTTCCAAATCCCCCGCTATAGATTTTTGACCAGCTCTAGTTGCCAGATCAAGTTCTCACACACCTTACATTCCCTATTAACTTGTGATTATTTCTTTGCATGTATGACTCCCATGAACATTCTCATAGCCAAAGCTGTATGGCCAGATAAGCAACTACCCAAAAGTGAAGCTATGCAAACTGAATTCTGTTACACCAGAATTTGAATCCCACAAGAATGGAGTCTTGCCCCTCCACTCAAGGTCAGACCGATCACCGTATTTTGGGTGATCAGATTGGTACAGATCATGGGGTTTGTTTTTTTTTGCTTTCTCTGCAAAAGGAGATGTAGCCCTCTTCCTGGGATCTTTCAGATATATTTTAACAACCTTTGCAGCAGCAGAACATTGGCTGCCATGGTCCCCCTGTTTTACTGTGGCAGGTTAGGTTGTTAGATCTTAGGGTGTGTGTCAGGATTGACTGTGCAGTTTTGCTAAGACACTAGGCAATGAATTTATACAGGATGGTTTATATAGATGATCCTGCCCCAGGCAAAGGGCTGGGTTAGATGACCTCTGAAGGTTCCTTTCAGCACTACTTTTCTATGATTCTAAGAAGATTTCTTAGATCAACTGCTCAGAAAGCATAGCCAGAATGGCCATTCCTGAGCAGGGTGTCCATCCCTACCCTATGGTTGGGACAACATCTCAAAGGTTACATAACCAATACTGTTCAGGACATTGCACTGTTCCACGGAACAAATAAATCCAGTCCATCCTCAGGTCTTCCGGAACAGAACAAAAGCAAATTAATTGCTAAATTGTCCACAGTCAATCTGCTGGGGGAAAATTTGGGATCTGACTGATATGACAAGGCCAAGAGAAAACACTTACTGGTTCTGTCAGGCTGCTGTCCTTTTCCAAAAACTGCACCACACAGTACGCCAACTGTCACAGGAAAAAAACAGCATGGTTAGAACTCTTCCAAGCATTAGCAGGGGCAGGCAGACATCAGTGAATATATGTGAAAAGCAAGCACTTACCATACAGTGTGGTCAAAAAGCTACATTAGAGCTGATCATGGGGGAGAGAGGGGAGGGGGAGTGGCAACCAGTTGCCAAATCAAAGAAGACATTGCCTGACAACTGATGGAGGGCCTCCCTAAGTTCAAGAATTAGGGCACAGGCCTTTGGGAAACACAGCTTAAATCCTCATACTGTACCGGAGTAGTTTTGTGACTGCACATTCACAAATCAGCAGCCACCAATTTAACAAATCAACATATGCATGCAGAGAGGGAACAAACAGGGCAACCCAGTGAGTCCCACCTTCTCAAGCAAGGTCAGGGAACAAGATGCTATGATGCGCCTCACCACTCAGGGTCAAAGCTTTCATTACTCCATTTGCTAGAGTTCTGATCTATATAGATCAGCAACTCCCTAGGGCAGGGAGCTGGTCTCTGTATCAGTGTGAATGCATAGCATAATGTTGATACTACATAGAGAAACAAAGACAAAAAAAGTTGTTAACAGTAATGACCTATGCTTACCCTACACACCCTAGGATAAGAAATGGATTTCAGGGCCCTCAGCCACCTGACCACACCGGGGCCACATGCCACCAGAGACAAAGGATGAATAAGCTTAACACTCAAGACAAGAGAGGGCAGCAGCACCCACTCACACTGGCCACGAGCCAGCAGCAGCAAGTTAACAGGCTGGAGTGAAGGACTACCGTCTACAAGCATACCTGGGAGTGAGAGTTCTAGTCAGACAGGAGAGGGGTGACTGCACAGAAACACCAGAAGGCCCCACAGAAAGAGCTTTGCAGCAAGCCTCGAAAATTACTATAAATGAATCCAGAGTGCTCACACACTGGCTTTGCACTGCTGATAGAAAGCACTTCTCACCTGCGGGTGGTAGACGCTCAGTGATTTCACCTTGTGCAAAGGTAGCAACACTCGAATGAGGAACATCTTGTGCTCTTCCTTCAGAGGCAAAGCAAACCCATTGATTATACTGAGGGAAAGGGAGAGACGTATTGATGTTATTAGTGTAGGGACCCAGTATGAGGATCAGACTAATTGCAGCATACAACCAGTTTCTAGACCCATTCTACCACACCTACATATAGCAGTACAGAGAAAAGGCCACAAGAAGAAAAGACTGAGACAATTCCAATATTATCAAAGCCTAAGTCTGTCTTGTCTGTCCATCTGTTGGTCAGGCTTTATTTGCGCTCTGATTGGCTGGCAGAAACAGCCAATCAGAGTGCTCCAAGAATGGGGTAGCACCGCCATGATTCCAAAGCCGCAACCAGGACCAAACAGAGGGTGGGGGAACCGGGGCCAGCAACACTGGGGCCCACTCCCTGCAAGAGCCAGAACAGTGGCAGCATGGGGCGTTAGGTGGTGGCACTCCATCCCAGCCCCCTCCCGCCCCTGTCCCCCCATCATTCTTGATGGGCAATTGGCTAATAGTACCATAAAGTCCACTCATACAGGACTCACAGGGTGACTACTCATAGCAGAGACTTCTCCCAAATACTGGTTTCATCTACACATGCAGAGGAGTGCACAGTTGTTACTGCGCAGTCATTTAATACTTGCATAAGCAAGTACTAAGCAACTGAGCAGCAACCAGCTTTACTGTGCAGTACCGTCGCCACACACTTTTTTCGACAAAGTTACTGCGCAGTAGCTCATTACTACTGCACAATAGCATTGCATCATTTGTTAGTGCCCAGTAATGCTACTGCGCAGTAGCAATGAGTGATGGCACAGTAGCTTGTTGCTACTACATCGTAGCATCTCATGTAGATGCACCCACTGCCTCCTAGTAAAATGATGCAGCAACCACTGGATACAAGAGGGGGGTGGTGAGAGCAATCACAATTGTAAAGGCCTAAAACTTGGCCCAGGACAAGGACAGAATTGTAATAGTATCTGTAAAAAGGAAAACAAACCTCTGGGGAAAGAAGGACTGTGCCCACCACAAGACTGGTCTGGAAAACTCTCTTGGCTTTGAGTGTAAGTTTGGACACAAATTACAAGAAGTGTATTCCTGTGACTCAGATGAAGTATAAGTCACCTCAGCAACTGAACTGTGCTGAAGCTGAGAAGTAAGCTGCGAAGTCAGCCGAAGTAGTGGACTGGTCCTGACACTAGGCCAAGTAAGTTTGTTGCCTCATACAATATCTTAGGCTGTGAGGTCCCATCCAACTCAAAAGGCCCCAGTCTCCTAGAAATGTCAAGATACATATGGAAAGGGACAAAGGCCCTCACCTGCCCAGGATCTCCAGTAGCTCTGCAATCCCATTGTGATGCTCCGTTTCATAGATAAACCTGAGAAGGGGGATGGGAAAGGAAGGGTCACTGCCAAACATAAGATGCAGGTTACTAGGCAGAAAGGGAGATTTCAGAGAGCTTCACAGTAACAGGTAAGTCACAGAAGACCCAATGCTGTCCATATTGCAGGATGTGGGAAAGCACCCTGATCAGCTGTGGGTACTCTTAGGGTGTGCAAAGGGGAAAAAGGAGGTCCCTCCTCAAATCAGTTGGAGGCACAGAGCATTAAAGAATCTTCACTCACATCTCCACACAGTGAGGCAACATGGCTGTCCCAAGTTACTTGGCTAGTCACTGGCAAAGTCAGAAGTAAAACCTCAGTCTGTTGCTCTGCTTCCACAGGTCTTCTGAGCCTGTTTGCCAGGCCAGCAGCACTGGGAAAGACCTCACCTGTAAAATATGTTGTTGATCTGCCGTCTCACATATGCTCGCAGGCCCAGGAACTTTCCATAAATCCTGTGCAAAATGGTCTTGAGAAAGTCTCGCTCTCTGGGATCTTCACTATCAAACAAATCCAGTAACTGTGGAAATAAAGGTTCAGTCAGTCCCTGTCAGTGATGTAACTAGAGGTAGCACACCAGCCCCAGGTACTGATTTACAAGGGATGCCAGATAGATGCCCCTGTTGTGGTGGTAGCAGCAGCCCAAGCAGCAACTGGACTATGGCGAACCCATGCAATAACAGCAGCCAGGGTCTTTGAGAGTCTCTGACCCCAGCCCAGAGACATTTAGCACACCCCTCCCCCAGTAGTTTCCTCAGCCAGCCCAACCCTTGTGCGGTAAGGACATCCATACCCTACCCATTCCCAGGCCCTCACGATCCGTGGCCTCAGAAACAGATTCTCTCTCACATATCTCCCATAAGGCCTACAGTAAAAGTCACTGATGACAGCTTATACAGATTCTCTCTCAGCACCACGCTTTTTCAGCAAGGCATGGAGAAATGTGAGGCACCCTGGCACTGCCTGTCCTGATGCCTTCTAACCATCCCTTTCACAAGGCTTTGGGGACTGCCTGGACAGTGACTGCTGGGGGTCCCTCCATTCAAACATGAGAAGAGGTGGTAAGAGCTGCCACCACTTACTGACAGAACAAACTTCTGGTCAATATATTTCTTGGCTACATTTGGCTGAAAATCAGGTGATTCCAGAAACCGTAGAAAGAATTCATACACCAGCTGAAGGGGGAAGGAAGAGAGTGCTTTTAAAAAAAATTAAAACATTTCACTGAATTCATATACTGTATTAAATCTTTTAATTATTTCCCTTGTGTTGAATGGAGCAGTGGCTATCAATTCTGGTGGAAACATTGAATTATCAGTAGTTGGAACTGGGAAAGATGTCATCTTATTCCTCTGCCAGGAACTAAACCCTCCCCCTCCCCCACCTCCTACTTTGCCCAGCCCCC